CCCTGTCTAAGCCCCAGCATCCATCCACCTGTGTGTAGGTAGCACTTGCCAGTCTGTATGTCCCGCAGTGCCGTAGGCAGGTGCTCAGGAGGGATGTAGCCCAGGTAACATGGCTTCCTCTCTGAAGGAGAAGAAAAACCTACGTATATGTAGGAAATAGATCTAAGCCAGAGAAACACGAGCAGTTAGCTGAGGCCACCTGTGCTATGCCCACTGCAGTGGGGGGAGGGGTAGGAAGACTTCCTGAAGAACCAGACAGTTGTTGAGAATTTTATCCCCCTGTCCTTGTCTCACAGGTGATTGTGGGACTTCTTAAGTTCTGGCCGAAGACCCACAGCCCCAAGGAAGTGATGTTCCTGAATGAACTAGAGGAGATTCTGGATGTCATTGAACCTTCGGAGTTCAGCAAAGTGATGGAACCACTCTTCCGCCAGCTTGCCAAGTGTGTCTCTAGCCCCCATTTTCAGGTGAGATCCAGACCCAGCATATCCCAGCCCCTGCGTCCCAGAAATTGAGGGGGTTCTTGAGCCAAGCGAGCCGTACCCCCACTGAGTCCTGCCTGTCCCCACCAGGTGGCAGAGCGTGCTCTCTATTACTGGAACAATGAGTACATCATGAGCCTGATAAGTGACAATGCTGCCCGCGTCCTCCCCATCATGTTCCCTGCACTCTACAGGAACTCCAAGAGCCACTGGAACAAGTAGGAGGCTGCGGTGGGGCTCTGGTTTTGTAAGCTGTGAGGGTGTGGAAGATCTATGGAGCCAATGATTTCATCTGGTCACTCTGCTAGTGGGGATGGTGCCCACTGTATGTTGATAGGGCTTCGGGGGACTGATGGGGGAGAAAAGGTACCTATGTGAGAGATCTCTGTGATAACAAACAGCAGAGCAGTGGCCTGTATTACACCACTTCTTGCAGTCAGAAATCCTGCATCTTTGGCGGCTTAATTCCATGCTTTAGGAAGCTGATGTGACCTTAGTGTGTGTTGAATCCCAGTGTTGTAAAAAGGCTTTCATGCTGAAAACAATCACACTGTGGTGCAGACATGCATCACACTGCTGGGAGGCCACTGGTGTGGGCTAGAATGGAGTAGTGGGAAGAAGGTAGGTCTTGGATGATGGGGTGAGGGGAAGGATGGGCAAGGCCGATCAATATTTGTGAAGACCCTGAGATGGCAATCTCAAGTCACAGGATTTGAGCAGAGAGATGAGTTTTTACTGTATAGAGCTCTGTGAAATGGGCATGGCAAATGAGAAAGCTCTTAGCAGAGACACCTCCTAGAAGAGAGCAAAGTAGCAAAGTGGGGCCAGGCACTAAGGGCAGGCTCTGGCCTCTTACACCTCTTCTTCCGGTGGCAGGACAATCCATGGACTGATCTACAATGCCCTAAAGCTGTTCATGGAGATGAACCAGAAGCTGTTTGATGACTGCACACAACAGTACAAGGCAGAGAAGCAGAAGTGAGTGTGTCTCTGCTCGCAGGCTCTGATCATCCATCAGCAGCCCCCTTTGCTTCTCTCTCAAACTCACTCTCTCTTTGCTCCCTCAGGGGCCGGTTCCGAATGAAGGAAAGAGAAGAGATGTGGCAAAAGATCGAAGAGCTGGCCCGGCTTAATCCCCAGGTGAGGTTTTCCTGTCACTGCCCTGAACTGAGGGGCCTGTCTTAGGCTGGGAGAGGGACTAAGGAGGAACAGGCACACAGGTTCACAGGCTTCTGAAGTGGTCCTCTCCGCTTGTCACGCCTCCTTTCTTCTCAGTATCCCATGTTCCGAGCTCCACCGCCATTGCCTCCTGTGTACTCAATGGAGACAGAGACCCCCACAGCAGAGGACATCCAGCTTCTGAAGAGGACAGTGGAAACAGAGGCTGTGCAGGTGGCAGGGCACAAAGGAAGGGCAGGGGAGCAGAAATAAAGACAGCTCTGGAAGGGGGAGGAGAAAGGAGTAGCAGAGCCAAGGAGGGACGGGAGGAAACAGTGGAATGTACTGGGAATTGGTCACCATTCCTTGTCTTCTCCATGTCCACACACAGATGCTAAAGGACATCAAGAAAGAAAAAGTGCTACTTCGGAGGAAGTCAGAGCTGCCCCAGGACGTGTACACCATTAAGGCGCTAGAGGCTCACAAACGGGCGGAAGAGTTCCTAACTGCCAGCCAGGAGGCTCTCTGACGCCCTCACCTTCCCCGCGCAGGGCCACAGCCCACTCAGCCCTGGGACGCCGCCCTAGCCCTCCACCCTCTGCTCCCCACCGGCTGACTTGGGGCAAGGCAGTGCCTCTAGCTACTCTAGGGAGGGTGATGCGGCACTTGGAAGCAGGGACACTCAGAGTGGTCCCTCTTCTCCCCAAAATGTGTTCATACCTCCCAGTGGCTAGTACCGACAGGCTGAGCACTGAGACGTTTAGTGCTTAGACAACTGGGGATGCCTGTCCCCCTCCTGCTCCTAACCCCACAGCTACCTGAGGCTGCTGAGAAATACACACAGGAATACATACGCTCCTCTCCTCTTCCCTTCATTCTCATTTGAACTCTAGGGGTCTCTCCTTTTCTTCCTCCTCTGCAGAGTACACGGGGAGCAGCAGGAGATTATTCTCACCAAAGTTATGTCAAGTCCCATTGGCCCCTGAAGTCAGTAGCTGAAGGGTTGCCAATCCCCAACAGCACAAAGAGGCTCCCAGCCCCAGCAATGTGCAGGCTGACAGGGCTGTATTATTTCCTCTTACCCCTGCCTGACCAAGACCATGTGGGTGGTCAAAAGGAGAACTGCATAGGCTGTGGACAACAGGTGATGGTGAATAAAGAGCCCAGATGGATTAAGAGAAGGGGATGAACAAACACCCGACCTTGTGCCCTGTCTTTGGTGAGCAGCAGCCTTGGGATCACAGATATGGAAGGGACCACCCAGGGCTGACTGCTTTCCTGTGCTGTTGGTTCCCAAAGTTAGGAGGAAGGAAGCAGGGAGCAGTGTCCTAAGCATGGCTCCCCCAACACCTATTTATTTCCTTGTTTGTGCTAATGCTGGGCAGACCCTCACTTGTCCCTTTCAGGCATCATGGAGGGGCAAGGGACTTAGGAAAGCCAGACCTGGGTTCCAGGGGCACAGGCAGTGCAGCTTTTGGCTGTGTACATAGGGTGCTTTATTCTCCAGAGTGATACATGCTGTGGTGGGTTGGGCTTGGGCCGATGTCCCTATATGTACAGAACTGAATAAAGTGGGTCTCTGAGAAGTCTGATTTGCTTTGATGTGGAAAGGGAGATGGGGAGAATGGAGATGGGCATTACAACCAGGGATGTGTTCAGTCCTTTGCTGGTTCCAGTCTGGAATGCTGGCAGGTAAGGCAGTTCTCAAGATGGTCACTTCCAGGCAGGGGATGCCTGCCGGGCTTGGAGGGCCTTCTGAACCATGTCTTCCCACTGGGCATCTGATATCTCCCGAGCCCAGGCAGGAACTCCTGGTGCAGGCAGGCTTACTCCAGCCATTGTCCTTTTCACCAGCTCTACATGTTCTGAAAGCACAGGCAGAGACCAATTAGTGGATAGAAGCAATGGGACCAGCTCCCTTTCTTCTTGAATTCACCCAGGGCCACTGGGTTAGCAAAATCACCAAATCCATCTGTTGTTTCTAGACAAGCCTGCCCATTCCCTAAGTCTAGCAGAATACACATTACAAACTCATTTTAGGAAGAGGCTGTTGCTCTGTGACCTCTCTATTGGCTCTGGCCAGTTCTTTCCTCCATAATTATTCCAGAATAAAAAAATAAAAGTCTTTTACCTGGATCCATGGGAATAGAGCTGTGGTTGCTCAATGCTGTAGCTCCCTCCTCATCTTCATCATCGCTTTCTAATGGTGGGTCTGGCAAATGAAGCCCCAGGGCCTGAACAGCCAGAGAGAAGGCAGTTCAGGGCCAACCCTTCAAGGACCCCAGCTTCACCTGCTCAGGAACAATGCCTCCTCCACCATACCTGGATCCGATCCTGGATATCAGCAACTACATCTTCTCCATCCCCCACTGGTGCCAGCTCCACTTCCTCTGGTTCAGGATCTTGGTTCAGGGGCTGGTAGGAGTAGCCAGCTGGGCCTGCCCCGGTCTCCTCTTGCTCTTCCTCAGGCTCCTCACTGCTCCAATCCCCAGTGCCTTCGGTAGGGCCCTGGTGCGGCCCTAGTTCCTCAGTCTGATTGGGGAAGATACGCTCAGGGCCCATGGTGTCTCCCGCTAGAACTACTGTTGCCATCCGGGCAGGGGCTGCAAGAACAGGGAGGCAGGATAGGACTCTGATGAAATCAGTTCTACATACAGCTTCCAATCCAGCTCCTTGTGGTCTCCTGTGTCCACAAAACATTTCAACGCCCCCAACCAACCTCAGCATCTCCTCGGCCTTCCATCTTTTAAGTCAGTAATCTCGAACCGAGGCCCACCCGCCTTGCTCGGCCATTTCTTAACTAACAGCCCAACCACACGCTAAGCCTTCTCCCAAAACACACCCCCTTCCAGAACCCCGCTTTCCCGACCCTACTCCTGACTCGGGAACTCCGGGTAGCCAAACAAGCTCCGTCACATAGCGGGTACCCGTTCCCTTTTACCCTCTCAATATCGGTCCCCTCTGTACCACCTGACAAACGCCCTTCGGGTCTCAGGGGCTCCCCTTAAATGGACCCAGCTGTGCGTTCCCCACCCGCCCCCACCGATTTTCAGTGCCGGTATCTCCGCGCGCCTCACCAGCTCAGAGCCCGGGGCCCAACCCTCACCTTCACTTCCGGCGGGGCAGGACGTGCTGGGGTGCCAAGTCCTCCAGCTCCGCCCTGTGCTCCTGATTGACTCGAGCGAGGACAACGACTCCGCCCCCTGCCCCGCCTCCGTTTTTTCTGGTCTGGACAACAAAGAACTACATTACCCAGTGACTCCCACGGGTTGTGTGTGTGTGTGTGTGTGTGTGTGTGTGTGTGTTTGTTGTTGTTGTTGTTGTTGTTGGTTTTTTGTTTTGTTTTTTTTGACACTTCTGCACAGGCGTAGAATCTCTTTGGGCTCCTGCCCACTCCTCAACCCCTCGCGTTTGTCCCGAAACCGGGGGACTACAAGTCCCGGTAGGCTTCCGGAACTTAGCTCTGACTGCACGTGCGCACACAGCTGCCCGCCGGAAGAATCGAGCTTGGCAGTGTTTATCTTGTTGGGGACCGAGTCGTCGGTTGACGCACAGCGGGTTCCAGGCTGCCCGCGACCCCGCCCCGGCCCGGCCTGGCAAGGTAGCCCGGGATGGGTGATGTTACAAGGAAAATTGGAGGTGCTGGGGACGTCCTTGCCCAGAGCTGGAGTCGTGGGGAAGGGGCCTGAGAGTGATGAGGTGGGGGTGGGGAGGGAAACTAAGGGGATGATGGGAAAGGAGAGTGTTAATGGGGAAGGGCCGGGGAAGGATGGTGATGTGACGGGTGAGAGAGACCTGGTGGCTAGATAAGGCATAGAGGGAATTTGAAAGAAGACTGGTTGTGGAGAGAACTGGGAAGCTGAGGATAATGGAAGCCCGGGGGGGCGGGTGTCTGGCGCTGTGGGGGAGGGGAGGTTGGGATGCCTGGAAGAATCCAGAGATAGCGTCATATACAAGGAGGAATACCTCTAGCCGAAAAAGGTTAATGACTATTAGCATTTTTCTCCTTAGTGGAAGAGGGAAAATGGAGAACTGTCGGATGGGGCTTGGAGTGGTGGGAAAAGGGAAAAGGAGGAAACTGCAAAGCTCTGAAATCGAAAAGGGCCAGAAATGGGGAGTGAAAATTGCAAAAGACCAGGGAGGGAGTAGGCACGTGAAGGGAATTAAAGAAGTTAAGAATGTGATAATTATGGAGTATGGGGGAAACCCCAAAATAACAGAAACCCTGAGACTTTAGGGGTGTGTTTCCATGAGCTTGAGTTCTCCTCATGGAAGAGAGGCTAAAATTCTCTTTCCACCTTTGCATGGAATTGCTTCTCTCTGCCCTTATGAATCTTTTACCTTGACACAGCTGAAGGGGAGTAGAAGCTATGCGGGAAGGCGAAGGACTCCCATTCTTAAGCCCTTCAACCTCCCTACAAGTCCAGATCCAAGGTATTTTGGATTGAGGACAGGAGTAATAAAGAGCTCCTGCTGGGGCTCTTTCAAATTTGGCAGGTAGCTATTTAAAGCCTGGGGTGGGGGTTGAGGCAGGTTGGGTGGGGAATAGGGGACTTGTGAGCCAGCCTAAAGCCATGTCTTTTTTTGGCGAGGAGGGACAAGGGGGCCTCCTTTACTTGAGCTTTCTCTGTGCCTGAAGTTCTGCCTTGAACTGGGAGCAGATGATCCACCCAGACACAGCAGGTGCCTGCCAGCCAAGGCAGTGCTAGTTGCAGGAGGCTTTGCCTGACAGATCCTTCAAATGTATACATTATCTCTAGGTTGCAGGTTTTCTTAAAGAGATCATACTCTCTCGTACCTCGGTCTTTTTCTTGTGCCACCCAAGGCCAATTTTGCTTCCCTTCTTTCCAGGGCACACCCCCACCGCGACCGCCCCCCCCCCACCATTCAGGGACCCAAGTGGGTGAACAGCTGCTGGGAGCAGTTTGTCTCTACTGCAGTAGCAGGGTTGGGGAAGTGGCAGGAAAAGAAGACCCCTCCTCCCCACCTCCACTCCCTCAACCTACAGCAGACACATACCTTTCTGGCTTAAGTTCCTAGTTTTGGCAGCATGCCAGGCAGTCAGAGGAATTCCTCATGCCTGTGAAGTGCCCTGGGTGACCCTGATGACAACAGCTCAGCTTGACGAGAGCTTCCTTTGAGGGTCTAACTACCCATGGTAACATGGGGATCCCTGTCCTGGATCCCACCCTAACATGGAGAGGGGGACTATTTCACTCGAAAAACCTAAGAGCTTTTCTGCTTAGAAGCACTTGTGCCAGCTTTCAATGGACTCTCTGGGCGGGTTGGGCTATTAATAGCTCTGGGTATTTTGAGATCCCTCTCCCCACCTTAAAGAGCATGGAGATTCTTAGAGAGGTGGCAGTAAGTAGAGCAGAGTCAGAGATAAAGAGAACCCATCACCCTGGGAACGGAGCTTGGCGCTTGTGCCAGACCAAGGTTAGGGTGGAGCCTCCATGAGTAGGGGTGATCATGCTGAGACCTTGATCAGATTCTGAGCTGGCAGTCAGGTCGGAGTGGCCCCACCCTTTGCTTTTGGAGAACACAGAACCGGGCCCAGCTCCTTGACCTCAGCAGCTCCTCTGGGGCAGGGCCAACCACCTGAGCTGTGGAGGTGTGGTGTGGGAGGCACACCAGGGTGACACTTAGAGGCAAGGGCTGGTCCTGGGCAGAGTTCTAGTAAGACAGCCAAAGAGCCTTGCCTGAGTAGCCTGTGGCCCCAATTTGTGTGCAGGTAGCAGAGGCAGCAGGCCGTGCCGGGGGGGCATGTTGCTGTAACCAGCGGCCCAGGGGATGTTACGGTGGACAGTGCACCTGGAGGGCGGGCCCCGCAGGGTGAACCATGCTGCAGTGGCTGTTGGGCACCGAGTATACTCCTTCGGGGGTTACTGCTCTGGTGAAGACTATGAAACACTGCGTCAGATTGATGTGCACATTTTCAACGCAGGTAAGCTAATGCCGGGAGCATCCCTGGGTGTCCACATCGGGGAGGGGTAAAGGTGGTTGAATGAATTTTGGTGGTGGTCCCTGTGGCCAAAGGGGATGAGGGAATGAATATCTTATTTGAGAAAAGGTAGCCTTGGAAGGAGATTCCCAGGGCTGAGCTGAGCTGTGCCCACAGTGTCCTTGCGCTGGACAAAGCTGCCCCCAGTGAGACCCACCATCCGTGGGCAGCCTCCTGTGGTACCATACATGCGGTATGGACACTCCACCGTCCTCATCGATGACACGGTCTTCCTTTGGGGCGGGCGGAATGACACGGAAGGGGCCTGCAATGTGCTCTATGCCTTTGATGTCAGTGAGTATGGGGCTATGTTCTTCCACCTGGTGCCTCGTGGGGCTGGGAAGGTGTTGCTGGGCTGGGAATAGGATACCCCAGCATCCAGGAGGAGTGTCAGAGGTGTTTACCTGGCCCATCCTCTCATCTCCTTCAGATACTCACAAGTGGTCCACACCCCGAGTGTCAGGAACAGTTCCTGGTGCCCGGGACGGACATTCGGCTTGTGTCTTGGGCAAGACCATGTACATTTTTGGAGGCTACGAGCAGCTGGTAGGTCTCGGAAGAAAGTAGAGGTTTAGGGTGGGAATGAGGAAGAGGAGGGGAACTGAGGATGGTGGAATGGGAGGCTTTGGCTTGTTTTGCAGGTTTTGAGGGGAGGGATAGAGGGTCAGAGAGTGACTACTGACCCCATCTTATGTCCCTTCACTTCCTGTCTCTCCACTCAGGCGGACTGCTTTTCCAATGACATTCACAAGCTGGACACCAGCACCATGACATGGACCCTTATCTGTACAAAGGTCTGGTCTTTCTTCTTTCTCCCAGGTTCCCACCCTCAACTGAAGAAACCGTAGGGAGCTCAGATAGTGAGAGCAGGTCCTCTCGCTGCCTTCGCGCTCACCCTCCTCTCTCTCTTCCTGCCCAGGGCAATCCTGCACGCTGGAGGGACTTCCACTCAGCCACAATGCTGGGCAGTCACATGTATGTCTTTGGGGGCCGCGCTGACCGCTTTGGGCCATTCCATTCCAACAATGAAATTTATTGCAACCGCATCCGAGTCTTTGACACCAGGACTGAGGCCTGGCTGGACTGCCCACCCACTCCAGTGCTGCCAGAGGGGCGCCGGAGCCACTCAGCCTGTGAGTGTCTCTTATGTCCCTGCGGACTCCCCCTTCCTGCCCGTTGTCATCACACTCTGGACATTCTTCTCTCCTTCTAGTTGGCTACAATGGGGAGCTGTACATCTTTGGTGGCTATAACGCAAGGCTGAACCGGCACTTCCATGACCTGTGGAAGTTTAACCCTGGTAAAGAACACTGCCTTTAAGGGAGAAACAGGGAAGAATTGAAGGGGAAGGAAATGAAAGAGATAATCTTGAGTAGGTGAGAGGTTGAAGTTGGAGAGGATATTGACTGGGCAGGTATTAAATCTTCATATAAACTTCTCTCTAGTGTCCTTTACCTGGAAAAAAATTGAACCGAAGGGAAAGGGGCCGTGTCCCCGCCGGCGCCAGTGCTGCTGTATTGTTGGTGATAAGATTGTCCTCTTTGGGGGTACCAGGTTAGTAGGAGAGAGGGGAGGGCTCAGGGAAGGGACTAAGTCTGTGACTAACACAGGAGGCATTTAAGCAAGGCGGTCTCATGGGTATTCTTTCCTCCCCCTCTCATCTCTTGATCACTGCAGTCCGTCTCCTGAGGAAGGCCTGGTAGATGACTTTGACCTCATAGATCATTCTGACTTACACATTTTGGACTTTAGTAAGTATACTTACTCTCAAAGTGCTCCTGTCATCAGGGTCCCTGTCTGGGGTGACATCCAGGACTGAATCCTTTCCTCACCTTTGACCATCTCCCTCTCTCTCATCCCTCCTCTCAAGGCCCTAGTCTGAAGACTCTGTGCAAACTGGCTGTGATTCAGTATAACCTGGACCAGTCCTGTTTGCCCCATGACATCAGGTACAGTGAGTGGTTGGAAAGGAGGGATTAGTTGAGGGCGAGTGGCAGCACAAGCATGACCTGATTAGCTTGGTCTCAGTATGGAGGAATAGTTTTTGTTCTTCTGGAGATTTAGCATACTTGTGGAGAGTGAGATGGAAGGAGATATAAACTGTCCGCTAGGAATAGTACATGGAAAAAAATTGTTTTTCAAAGAAGCTCAGAAGCATCACTTTTTAAAAAAAAGATTTATTATTTTTAGAGAGAAGGGAAGGGAGGGAGAAAGAGAGAGAGGGAAACAAAAGAAACACTGATGGGTTGCCTCTTGTTTGTGCCCCCACTGGAGACTGAATCCGGAACCCGGGTGTGTGTCCTGACTGGGAATTGAACCAGCAACCTTTCGCTTTGTAGGACTACACCCAACTGAGCCACACCAGTCAGGGTTTTCTTTTCTTTTCTTTTTTTTATTGATTTTAGAGGGAGAGAAACACTGATTTGTTGTTCTTATTTATGCATGCATTGGTTGCTTCTTGTATATGCCCTGACCTGTGATTGAACCCGCAACCTTGGCATATTGGGATGACATTCTAACCAACTGAGCTACCTGGCCAGGGCAAAAATCACTTCTTGAGCTCTGAGCCTGTACAGTTGCTTTTGTTAACATGTTGAGAAAGCTTGATTAAACCTTAGAACCTAGCTTCAAATTAAAGACAAATTCCAGAATTAAGAGAAGTTCTTCCTAGCTACGTCCCTTTGAATTTCATTCTTTGGTCAAAAGCAAGCACCAAAAGTACTTTGTGTATAATTGTGCCCTTCTGAGTCATTCTGTGACACATCCCTCTCCTTATATCAGTTCAGTTTAACTCTTACTTGCTGAGGGTCTGTGTGCACAAAGCTGAACTGATGGATCATAGGCTGGCCCAGGATTGACATAAATGCAGGTACCTAATACCAGGTAGACTATAGTGAGGGTCTTGGTGTAGGAGTTTCTTGGTAAATCTTTTTAAAATGACAGAATCGTCAAAAAAAAAAGAAAGAAAAGATTTAATTTTAATACAATGGGATGAGTGGGGAAGGCCTCAGGGGGGATAGAAGAGCAGACTCGGGCTCCCTGAAAGGGATGGTAATTTGGAGCGAAAATGGTCAGGCGTTCCTAATATGGGGAGGAGGAGGAGCTGCCTGGTTGGATCTGAGGAGAAGAGGAAAGGTAGGTTGAGAACTTGACTGAGATGTGTACATAATTTTCTCCAGGTGTTGGGCACAAGAATATCTATATAAACAAACAGGAAGTCCACCTGAGCTTGTAGGTGGAGTTGTGGGCGGTATTGGATTTGGTGGTGGGTGGTATTGGATTTGGTGGTGGGTGGGACCTGTTAAACCTAGTAGGGCTGTAAGGAAGAGGTGGCTGTTGATAGTTAAGCTTTGAAGAAGTTGAAGGCACTGATGTATTCATAGTTTTGTTAGCAGTTCTAGGCTTGCAGGGTGGAGGCTCCTCCTTCTGTCCTTTATGCCTGTCACTGTTTGCCTTCCAGGTGGGAGCTGAATGCCATGACCACCAACAGCAATATCAGCCGCCCCATCGTCTCCTCCCATGGGTAGGAGGAAGTTTCTGCCGGCACCCCTACTGAGCCTGCTCTTGTCTTCACTGCCCCTGCCCGTCTCTCACCTGCCTGCCCCCTTGGATCCTGGTTTACCTCTACATGGAGTTGTTGGACTAGAGGTGTTTTCAGTGCTGTGAACTCAGTGGGGAGCTGTGGGGGGAGGGCTAGGTTCCCTCCCTCCTTGGGCCGAGGGCCCCTTCCCTTGGTGCTCTGTCCCATCGACCTCCTTCCAACTGCTCCTGGGTCTCTGCTGTGCCCCAGGCCGCCAGGCTCTGCTGAGAAGTGAAGGGAATGGGGAGAAGGGAGAAGCAAGTAGTGTCTGGGCCTCAGAAGCTTCCCCCGAGCTCTATTTTCACCCTCCCGTCCCTTGCTTAAGCCATGAGCACTGATTGGGAGCTGAGAGGAGTTGCAGCTGTTGCCATGAAACCTCCTTCTCCTTGACCTGGGGAAGGCGAGGACCAGCAGATAATCCCACCCCCCTTCCTCGAGCTGTTGCTGTAACCCTGACGCTCTCAGCCAGCTCAGATTTTATAAAAATGAATTAAAAACCTCCAAACATACTATCTGTTTTTGTGGAATGACATTGCCCTGGACGGGGGTTGGTCGGGGAAAGCGGTGCTGCGGTGCTGCTGTTCTGGCTTCTCAGCCAGGAGCATTTGCAAATCGAATACCACTGCGGCCTGACCCTAGCTTCTCTGGCGCTGAGTCCAGGGCCATGCGACAGAAAGGTGGCGTTATCCGAGTGGGCGTCCCTTTCAGCCTAAAACTTCCAGGACGCCCTCCTGCCCCTCCTACAACACCGCAGCAGTCGGCGTGCTCCGCTCTAGTCACCAGTGGGGCGGACTTGGCCTCCAGAGCCGCCGGAAGAGGCGGGGCGGGGGCCCCGGAGCGGAAGTAACGCCATTTGTCCTCACCGCGCGCCGTCGGGCAGATGCCGAGACCTAGCAGCTGTGTCGGGGAGCTTCCCGGGTTTCCCTGCAGAACCTGGGACGGCAGGGAGGATGGCGGGGGCGTCGGCGGGGGCGTGGGGCCCGGGGACCCACAGAATGGTGAGGGCGTGGGGCAGCGCGGGTCGAAGAGGAGGGCAAGATGCGGGGCTCCCTGTGTGGTGTGGGCTTCGAGCCTGCAGCGCAGTTGCCGTGAATCTGCTAAATTCTCTGAAAGGCTAACACGAGGAGTGTCCCCAACGCAATGGGAGATGGAGAGTGAGGGGGGATGCCTTCTGGGTTAGGACATCCTGAGCAGTTTCTTAAACGGAGGATGGGGAACTTTCCCCAGGGGTAAGAGGCATGTGCAAAAGCAGAGAGTCGGAAAAGGGCATGGGTTGCGGGGAAGGGTTAGTAGGTCGATTCAAGAAATTCAGCAAACATTTATTTAGCATTTGTATGTGGGCACAATATTAGATGCTGGAGATACACTAACGAATAAAGCAGACAAAATCTCCTTACAGAATTTATCTTTTCAAAAGGGCAGTATAAAAATACATAAATTAGTATATTAAAAGGCAGTATTAAGCACAGAATTGTATATTGTAAAGGGAGAATTTTATGGTATGTGAATTATATCTCAGTTTTTGAAAAACGGTGATAAGGGCCATGGAAAGAAAGAAAAAGCAGGGGAGAGGCTGCACTTAGTAGTAGTCAGAGGAGGCCTCGCTGAGTTTGTGACAGTTGAGCAGTGGTTGCAGGAGGTGAGGCAGCCGATGGGATGATGTCTTTCCAGCAGTGGGAGGTGCTGAGCTGAGTTGTGTGTCCTCCCTAACCTTCCCCCCCTTCCACAGACACATCTAACATGTCATTTGAGGAGCTGTTGGAATTGCAGAGCCAAGTGGGGACTAAGACTTACAAACAATTTGTAGCTGGAAACAGCACTAAGAAGCAAGGTTCTAGACCAGCTGTCCAAAATGCATGTGTTGCAGATAAGCACAGGTGAGAAGCAAAGCCTGCCCCAGGAGTTGGAGGATACTGGGAGCTTGCGTAGGTGTCTGCTTTCTCGGGTGGCAGGTGGGACTTTGTGTAGGTGTCTGCTTTCTCAAGTGGCAGGTGGGAGGCCTTTGACCAAGACTAGAGTCCCCTTAACTTATCCTTTAATTTCTCCAAAGGCCTCTGGAAATGTCAGCCAAGATCCGGGTGCCATTTTTGCGTCAAGTTGTTCCCATCAGTAAGAAGGTGAGAAAGAGGCATTCTCCTTGTGAAAGGAGACTGAACTTTTAAAAAATATTTTCTCTGTTTTCTCCAAAGGTAGCTCGGGACCCCCGCTTTGACGATTTGTCAGGAGAATATAACCCTGAAGTGTTTGACAAAACGTACCAATTCCTGAATGACATCCGAGCCAAAGAGAAAGAGGTGTGCTGTGTGCAGCTGGTTTACGGGGCTCTGAGGAGCAGGGAACTAGGGCACAGATTAGAGAGTCTGGCAGAGGAAACCAGGAGCATAGTGGTGGGCAGATTTAATTCTTCCTAATTTGGTTCTTATAGTCAAATCCTGGCTTATCAGTTTACTAGCTGACCATTGGCAAGTTATTTAACCTGGCTTTGCTTCAGTGTTCTAATCATAAAAAGAGATAGTAACAATTCTTATCTCATAGTGTTACTGAGTTAATGTATGTGGACTTCTTAGAGTAATGCTTGGCACAGAATTTCAGCTAACATTTACAGAATGCTAACCATCACATTGATTTCCCACTGTGGAGCTTGTGAAAAAGCAATTGAAGAAGCACCGTTCTGGGGAGGAGCATGAGAAGCTGCAGCTGCTGCTTCAGCGAATGGTGAGTCAGAATTGTGGGTGGGTGGTGAAAGTAGTTCAAGGCAAGAGGTGATTCACAGGCTCCCCTATTCACCCATCTCATCTTTGCTCCTCAGGAGCAGCAAGAAATGGCACAGCAGGAACGAAAGCGGCAGCAGGAGCTGCGCCTGGCTCTGAAGCAGGAGCAGCGGGCTCAGGCCCAGCAGGGCCATCGTCCATACTTCCTGAAGAAATGTGAGTGGGGCACAACCATTAGAGGCGAGTTACAGGCACAGGGAGTCAGAGGCCATAGTAGGGTACTGTGTCGGAGGTCCGTGAGCTCCCTCCGGGAGGAGTGAAGACTGGATCCCATGGTAAATTAGAAGAAAGCAGAAATGTAGTAGGGAGGAGTTATTTGTAACAATTCTTTTTTCCTTAATTAGATTATGGGCAGAGGGTTGTCACTTTTATCTGTCTCCTACCCCCCACGTATGCTGAGCTGGGCACATAGGAGCTAACTGTTGAATTGAGAAAGAATGGAATTGGAAAATGTCCATTTGCTTACACACACCAGTGAGCTCTAAACAAGTCGTGTATCTCAGCACAGTGGTTGAAAATTATTGCTGGGGAAAGGGAAAGAGAGGTGCTTCCTCCTTTGCTCACCAACTTTTCTTCCCTCCGTTATCTAGCTGAGCAGCGCCAGTTGGTCCTAGCAGAGAAGTTCAAGGAGCTGAAACGTAGCAAGAAGCTAGACAGCTTCTTGAGTCGAAAAAGGCGCCGAAACGCAGGCAAGGACAGGAGACATCTTCCTTTGAACAAAGACTGATAAGGAACTGTCCTCAGCTCTGCCACTGCCCCATTGAGAAATGGATCTGGGGACAAACTTGGGCTTGGCCTCTTCTGGTTCTTTCCCATTTGAGGACAAGGATCACAGCTGCCCTTCAACCAGACCAATCTAGTTGGACCAATCTTGTCAGAAATGACTAGAGGGTTCTTGGGCTGCCCCAGGGCTGGACATAAGAAGAGCTCAGCCTTCTGCTGTGCCACACTTACTCTGCCTCGATCTGGTTCCTCATGTCCTCATGTCCTCCCATCTTTGCCTTAATCCAGTGATTCTGACATAGAAAAAAAGGGTCAGTGACCTGAAAGCTGGTGAAGGCCATGCTGTCTGTTGATGGCTCCCAGGACTGGGACTTTATGTAGGAGCCATTCATAAACGTTCTTGTCACTCATCTTTTTTTTATTCTGCTTTTTGTGTGGGGTTTGTGGATGGCCTAGAACTATTGTCTGAGTGGGCCACTTTGAGGGGCGGGGAGCAGCAGAAACCTAAGGCCCCTTACAAAGTGGGAAGTCAGATCCCACTTTGGGATTTGGAGATCCCTCCTAATTAAACCCAAAAGATGACACAATCATGTGAAGAGTGAACCAGTCCCACAAGTCACCTACTTAACTTTCATTTTGATGCAGGGGGAAATAGGATGTAGGGAAAAACTGCTTCCCCAAAAATGTCAGCACAGCTGGCTCTCCATACTGTTTGGGTCTACAATTCATACTACCCATGTGGACTGGAAAATCCTCAAGCTGATAGTTCAGTGTAAAGTGGTCTCAGGTTGGTGGTGCCTCCAGGCACCTGGCAGGAGCAAAAGCAGATCTCTTGAGGACTGTCCTTTAAGCCTAGGCCCCAAAGAATTAGGTACCTCAGATAAAATTTCAAAGACTATGAGTTTACCATGAAACAAAGCACACAAAGGAGGAAACCACTATAAGCAAGAGTCATTAGGAACAATAGATAACAGAATCAGACCAGTACAGATACAGAAAGTATAAAATATGTCAATGTTCAATGAAAAGCCATGACTAATGTAGAGTATCAAAAAACCAGATTGTTTAAACTGAAACAAAAATGAAAAATATGCTTTATGAATTTAGAAACTTCATGGTTAAGCAGTAGGTTAGACACACCTAAAAAGAGAATGAACCTGTAGATCTGAAGAAGTTACACAGGTGGAGCAAAGGGATACAAAGAAATGGAAACTAAGGAAGAGTTTAGAAAACAGGAGCAGGGAGGAAGATATAAGGGGACTAAATGGTAATGGGGGGGGGGAAGTACAAAAAAATAAAACCCCGCTGTAGATAGAGTGAGAAGGTGTGACATAGAGGTCCAGAAGGAGTGAATATATATATATACAGACACACACACACACACACACATATATTTAAGATTTTATTTTCAGAGGGAAGGGAAGGAAAAAAAGAAACAATGTACGATAGAAACATGGATCAGTTGCCTCTCACATACCCCCTACAGGGGACCTGGACACATATATTTTAAGATTTATTTTCAGAGAGGGAAGGGAAGAAAAAAAAGAAACAATGTATCATAGAAACATGGATCAGTTGCCTCTCACATACCCCCTACAGGGGACGTGCCTACAGGACCAGGCACGTGCCCTGACTGGGAATTGAACAGGCAGCCCTTTGGTTTGCAGGTTAGCACTCATTCCACTCAGCCACACCGGCATGAGCAGGAGTGAAGATTTTAAAGAGGCTGAAAAGTTTCTAGAATTGAAATGTATAAATCCTAAGAATTAGGAAGCTCAGGGAATTCCAAGCAGGAGTGAAAAAAGTATTAGATAAATAATAAGAAATTAACAGGACATCAGGAAGACTAACATCTGAAAAACAGCTATAAAGAAAAGGAAGAGCCCTGACCTGGTAGCTCCGTTGGTTAGGGCACTGTCCTGATACACGAAGGTTGCAGGTTTGGTCCCTGGTCAGGGTACATACAGGAAGCAACCAATGAATGCATAAAGAAGTGAAACAGCAGATGATGTTTTCTTCTTTCTCCCCCTCTAAAATTTTTTTAAAAAGGGGCGGAGCTGAGGCGGAATTAGAAACTAGGACACCTATTGCTTGATGCTTCTGGAATGGGGTACAAGGTGTTCTGATGACAGTGAGATGAAGCACGTAAGTGTTCCCAGTGATTGAAGGCAGACTAGTTACCAGGGTAGTTTGCCTTGCCCAAGGAGAGGGGAGGTCTACTGCTGTACAGTCCCCAATGACATGTGACAATACTTCTTTAAAGCCAAAGAACAGATCCTGGCTGGTAAAAGCAGAAAGACTGTCGAACTATGAGGCTCACAAAAACACTAAGGTTGGAGAGTAGCTTTAAAATGTGTGTTAGGGGTGGTTCTGAACAGTTAAAAGCATTCTAAATCCTACCTTGGTACCAGAGCATTGATGTGAAGATGTCACTACTGCTCCACTTTTCCTCCTGCTTTGCTCTAGATACAGAAATCCCCCCACCCTGGGGGTGTAGCTCAGTGGATTGAGTGCTGGCCTATGAACCAAAGGGTTGCCAGTTCGATTCCCAGTCAACACACATGCCTGGATTGTGGGCTGGGTCCCTAGTGGAGGGTGTGAGAGGCAACCACACGTTGTTTTTCTCCCTCCCTTCCCCACTCTCTGAAAAGAGATAAAAATCTTAAAAAAAAAAAATTCCTGGCAGAGGACTGGAATTCCAGTCCTGATTAGCCAGGACCTGGTTACATGGCTGCAAGGGGATGCTGGGAAAGCAAGTATCTGCTTTTTTATATGGTGGGAGGTGGGCTCTACCTTATATCTAGATTTATGGTGGTAAATTTCCCAGCCTGAGGAGGGGTTTCAGATGAAGGCTGGTTAAGAACACCTATGTCCACTACAAGGGTGTATTGGCTCCCAAGCCGTCACACTGCTGCTTTTCTTTCCAAGGGTGCCGATGAGACATTGGAGAGCTCTGAGCTGCAGGTATGGATGTGTTTGGGTGGATTTTGTTGTTCTGTTTTTGTTTTTTATTGTAACAGATTTATTGAGGTATAATAAACAATTATACTAAACAATTTTAGTATAAAATTGTTTAATTTTATACTAAATTGGAAGGACTAAACAATTTACTCATTTAAAATGTACAATTCAATGATTTTTAGTACATTCACAGAATCGTGCAACCATCATCACAATTTTATGACATTTTCAACACCCTCCCTAAAGAATCACCATACTCTCTAGCAGTCACTTCCCATTTCCTTCAGCTCAAGGCAATCACTGAGCCCCTTTGTCTCTATTTTGGGACATTTCATATAAATGGAATCAATATGTGGTCCTCACTGTGCAGACCAGCTGTAGGAATATAAGGAATTAAGGCTGTGGGGACGATCTTACAGGGGGTCAGAGTAGCAAACTTCTGTCCACTGAGTCATCCAGGGTTTGCTCTCTAGGGACGGCAAGTTCTGACAACAGACAGAGGCTCAGATCTTTACTGGTGCTGCTGGGAGAAGGGCCAAGTCAGAGCTGCTCACTGGATGGCAGAATGAGGGCAATCAACGAGGCCAGAGCCTGAGGGTGAGGTTAGATTGTGTGCTAAGGACAGTGGGCAACACGAGCTAGGCAGCAGACAAGAACATGACAAGTTTTGGGGCCACAATTGGTGAGCCCTTCCCTTAAGAAATGCTGGAGACTTGTCCATTACAGATGAGCAGGTAGGTCCCCTGTGGGAGACTGAGGGACAGGGTGATTGAGGATGAATAAGGAGTTGAGCAAGTGCAGTGAGGAAGACTAGTGGTGGGGAGCTCAGTCCACGTAGGAGCCCTGGGGGCGGCAGCAGCGACCGTGTTGGAGTAGGAAAAAGGCCCATCCTGTCCCCGCCATGTGCTGCGTTCTTGCCTGGCTATTAGAGTCCCAGGGCTCTCTGGGTTTCTGGTGGAAAAGGATGGGCTCATAAAAAGCATGAGAACCCAGAGAAAGGCAAAAGGCTCTGGACCCTAGAGGCTACCTCAAGAACAGGCATGGCCTGGACCAGTAAAAGAGAGTAGGCCACAATCTCTGGCATGAAGGTGGAGAGGCACCCAGGCGGCAAACGGCAGCAGCCCTGGCATGCCCTGGGGCCCTCCGTAGCCTGAGACTGCTGCTGCCTGTGGCTCTGCTGTGAGAACCAGCGACAGCACCATGGGGCCGCCCTGCTGCAGAGCAAAGCAAGCACAGGCCCTCTGTGTGCACCCTATTGGCCCTCTGGTTTGTGGCCTCATCCTGGGCACCCTGACTCTCCCAAACCCTGACCTCTTTTTTCCCTTGCAGGTTCTATTCCAAATCTCAGTCCTGGGTGGCACCCCGTTCTGTCTGTCTCGCCTCTGAGCCCTCTGTCACCACCTGACTCCCCCCTTCACCCGCCTCCTTTCTTCTGTAGCGCTCTCCTAGTCCTCTCTTGGCTGTAAGAACCATGGACTCAGGATGCCTGGGTCCCCCCTTCCCCCTCCCTGATGGCCTTTGCCAAGAGGCAGAGCTCTGCTCCTGGCACTCGGTCCCCTAGCCTGACACGCCCTGCCTCAGTGTGGGTGGTGCCAGGGGAACCAATCGTAGCAGCACTGGCCTGCCTACCGGGCTGGGGTTTGGCTTTGGTGACAGCGGGCAGCTCTGTCCTGCCCGCGGGGAGACAGCCAGGAGGAAGGCAATGACGGGGAGAGTTCCATCGAGATCTGCTTCCAGCCAGACCCCAAAGCACCTGGACGGCACACGTTCAGGCTCCGAGGTGCCTCCCAACGGTCCTCTCTCTCACCTTCACCCTGTCAGCCTGACCTAGGGAAGGTGCGCTCACTGCTGGGCATGGTGGCCATCGCAAAGCCTCACCATGTCAAACGCTCCCGTACCCCGTGCTTGTCAGAATTCCACAGTGACTGGTCCAGTTCCACAAAGAAGGGAAATGGAGCCCTGCTTGATAATCTGCCCAAGTTACTTGCCGTCCAGCATGTGGCAAGATGGGCTTGAGTCTCCGGCCTGCCGGGTGAAAGCACTTGTGACCACACACACTCTGAGAGGTGGGGAGGCCCATTCCTATCCACTTCATCCCCTGGCAAGAGTGGGTTACTTGTCACACCTGACTCCCTCCACCTTCCGCCCCAGGCTGTCACCCTCACCCTACGAGTGACCGCTGCCATGAGATCGCCTCCAAACCAGAGGACGCTTCTTCCCTTTTAGCCAGCAAAGCAGCCCCTGCCCCTGTCAGATTCCTAGTAGTCACCACACAGGCCATATCCTCCAATTCCTGCACTTTATTTCTGTAGAAAGCCCCACTCCTAGTCCCACCTCCAGGGCTACCGAAAGGTAGAGAAGCTCTGGGTGACAGTGCAGGGGGCATAGGGCGCAGCCCGAGACCGAATCTGCAGGGTGTGGAAGGTGAGCGGGGGGTTGGGGCCTGAGGAGCCCGGGTTCAGGGACTCGGTGCGAGGCTCCATTACAGTCACGGGGACTGCATAGGACAGCCTCTGGGGCCGCTCATCATGGCGTCTCACCGTGCCCTTGCCCAGGAGGTGCAGGATGCAGGACAGGACATCGGTACTACTGCAGGCAGACCCCCTACCGAGGCTGCTGACCAAACCCCTGGGAGGACATGGGCCCTTCTGCCAAGCCTCCAGCACCTGGTATGGAGAAGGAGCGGGGAACAACAGGTCAGAGACACCCAGCTGACCCCGCGTCTAGCTCCCACTCCAAGCACAAGCTGCCAGGGTGGTAAGCTCTAAGGACACCAGGTGCACGCCAACCTCAGTCGTCAGACCTACAGGCACCATAGTGAACCAGAAGCTTTAAATGTGGACCCACCTCCCCCTGTGGACCACGCCGGCCCACCCCAAAGCTCCCTCACCCAGTGCCCACCCCTGCCTACCAGACAGACGAGCTGGTCAATGTGCAGCCCCTCGTCTCCATGGGCCTTGAGGATCCGGACTATGAGACAGTTCAGAAGGTTCTGTCTCTTCTCCAGGTTCCGGCCATCTTCATCCTCCGCTTTCAGATATGTCTGAGGTGGGATGAGCCATACGTTGCCCCTCCTTGGCCTGGGCTCCTCGCTGTCATCACGAATCTTGAGCACACCTGAAATAAGCACTAGTCACTTGGTGGGGTAACTTGTGATGAGGCTGACCCTGGCTCGGGCCCCTCTGCCCTAACTGCATACCTCCTGGGACACCCTTTTGCTCGTGAAGGTCCAGGGGGCCTCTTGGAGAGGTAAGAAGCCCAACTGCCTGATTCAGCATGTCTGGAGAGAGCCCCGAGAGCGCCAGCAGACTTTCTATGGAGACTTCCTTAGGAAGGACAAAGGAACATTCAGGGCTTCCCCAAACAGTGCAGTAGAGAGGGTGGAAGGAAGGAGGATGGAGGTCAAAGTTTAGGAAGGAAGGTGAGAGACAGGATGGAAGGGAGCAGGGAGGAACAGACAGCGTGGCCACCTTCAGGTTGTTGAGATACAGCAGCAGCCACATCTGCACGGTGGACACATGCAGGGTCTGGTCCCCAAACTGTAGCTCGGCCCGGCCCAGCCACGTCCACTGCAGCTGCCTCTGTGGGCTCTGCTCTAGGGCAGGATAGCTCTGACCTGAGAAGGATCAGGGAGGGGGAAGGCTAAGAGCAGGGAAAGGAGGGAGTTGTGGCTGGTGAGGGCGCGCCATCGGTTGAGCTTTGCTCCCACCAGTCTCTGCAGTGTGCGGCCCAGCATTTGTGGACACTGTGGTTCCAGGACACTGAGCCTTCCTGAGCTCAGCCTTCTCTGCTGTCTCCCACGTGAGCCTCAGGCATCGGGGAGCCTGCCTTGTGCATAGCCCTATACCAGGCAGGCTCTGATTAGGGCCTTCAAGGAGTTCCCCATTTTTTTAGGGAGACAAAACCATGAAGGAACAGAAGGACAGGGATATTAACTGGAATATCCCTGAGGGAGAAGCCAACGTCTCCCCCATTAGCCTGGAACTCCCTGAGGGTAGGTCTGATTCTCTTTCCCCTCCTTTGCCACTGCCAGCCCAGGATCAGCCCCAAGTGGGGAGCTTAGGTTACAGTGATTGACCAGGAGCCAGACACCTACCCCTGAGGGAGGGAGAGAGTCCTTTCTGGTGGCCTCAGATGCCTCCTCCCTCCATCCTCCTCACTACCCACAGAGACAGTCCTGGGTCTTATTTTAAGGACAGAAAAGGCAATAGTCTGGGGATCTGGTGCCTGATAACCCCATCCCCCTACCCCAAACCCAGCCTCCTGCCCACCCTTCTCAAATCCACCCCATCAAGGCTCTAAAACCCAACTAAGAGTTCACCCCAACCCCAGGTTCTTCCCCAGTGTCCCAGCCTCTTCCCAACCCCCAGCTCCCTTAGCTTTGCTCCTCACTCTTATTGTAGAAGTTGGAGTACTGGTTTAAAGTGCCCCTCAGGTAGGTAGGCAGGCAGGTCTTAGGGTTCAGTGTGTGGCAGACGGAGGCAATGGGCCAGCAGCGTGGTGACAAGACTAGCACAGACACTTCTGGCATTGTCCCTTCATAGTAGAGGTCCTCGTTCTCCTCCTCTTCTGTCACATCTGCAGCTGCTACTGCCCCAGTTTCCTTGGCTTCTTCACACTCTCTCTCATGCTCCTTGCCACTGGCCCCATGGTCCACCTGAGGTAGGAACACAGGGTTCCCAAAAGCCAGTGGGCCTCCCCTGGTCTGTTCCATGTTGCTCTTCTTTCCTAGCCTCCCATTTGCTAATCCCTTCCCTGGCACCCACCTGTATTTCCTTCTCTGTGTCCTCCAGCTTCAGGAGTTCTTGATCAAGCCGCTGGAGCTGGTAGACGTGGAACTGGCGCTGTAGCTCCTCGGAGGTGCTCAGGCTCTGCAGCATCTGCTGGGGGAGGCGGTTGGGGAAGCAGGGACCGATCTGCTCCAGCACGGCCCCCTCCAGCCAGCTCGAGCCCAGGCTCAGGAGACGGTCCGCCATGTAGTGCCTGCAGCACACACAGCCCCGGCCTGGCCTCAGTGTGGGCACGCGGACGGCCCAGCCTCCCGCTCCAGGCCTCCAGCCTGCC